TTAACACATATAAAATCTAATTGCATATATATATATATATATATATATATGTATATAATCAAATATTTCAACCAAATTTTATAAAAATCAATAAAAGAGTATATTTCAAAAAACTACTATTCTATAATATTTTTATATTGATAAAAATATAAATAGGATAAAATTTAGATATTATACATGGCTGATAACTAAGCTAAAATAAAAATGATATTAGTAAAGATAAACGATCCAATTTTTTTTTTAATTTAAACAATAAATTTTAAAAGTTAATCAAAAAAATATTTCTTTTCTTTAGACTTGTCAAAATTGTAGCAAAACTCGATAATGATTTATGATTTATAGTAATTGTAGTAAATATTTTTAAATAAAATTAAAATTTATTTATGTTAGTTTCATAAAAATATATTAACATAGTTATTAAAAATTTAGATAAATGTAAGAAAATTTGATATTATTCTAATATCTATTTCATTTATATCAAAAAATATAGTTTTTAATAATTTATTATAAGAATTATATTATTTAAGTAAATGAATTAAATACATAACACTTATAATTTTTTATATTAAGTAATTATAAAAGATTATATTTGAATAAAAATAATTTTTTTTGATTAGATTTTTTAAATCATAAACTTAATATATCAAAGCTTAATCATTTAAAAGAATTAAAGAAATATTACATAAAAATAGACTTATACCTTAACTTTAAATTTATATAAATTATAAAAATTAAACTATATAAACTAAAATATATATAAAAAATAAAATATTTAATTATATTTAATTAAATTATATAAATTCAGTATGTAAAATTAAATATGTACAATTAATTTATATACAGTATATACTAAAAATTGGATTATATAAATTAATTATAGTTTATTATGTGAAACTATATAAATTAATTATGATATTAAAACTATTCAATAATTGAATTATTATATGCAAAAGAGATTTTTTTCTATATATATATGTATATGTTGTTTTCAGCATTAAAGGCTCATCAAATATCTAATTGAAATTAGTCTTTGTTTATCTCAAGTTTTTATTCTTAAGAAAGATACATTTATTAATATTAAAAATGCATGACTTTTATTTTTAGTTTTAAAAATATTTTATTTAATTTATAAATCTACTTTTTTTTATTAACAACTTTAGATTTTCTAAATTATGCATCAATATTTAATTGTGTGTTTTATTATTTAAATTAAATATATCAGTAAACTTTAATCTTATTTTGTATTATTTAATTCCTTTTTGTTAATTTCAATTTTTATAAATTAAAAACTATAAAAATGTTATTGTTAAATCCAAGGATCAACCAGATTTGTAATTAATTTTTTTCAATATATTATAGCAGTAACAATGGAAGTTCTAATACAACAAGATGTCAATTACAGGTAGTTTTGGGTAATATCTGTTTTGCATTATAATTAATATAAACATAAAAAATAATTAAAAATATATGATTTCATTTTTATTTATAAAAAAATAAGATTTTTGATTAATTTATGATTTTATCACAATTTTTTTGATATATTAATTATCTTTTAAAAATATAGAAAATTAGGAATACAAAAAATGTGATTGATTAGACACAAGCAATTGTTAGGTATGGGCAAAAGCTTTTGCAATTAAATACAAGTTTTTAAATTTAAAGATTTTCCTATTCTTTAACATTTCCAATTAGGCTGCAACTATAATTAGGCACAAAAGAGCATCACTTGCATTTAATTATAATTTAAAATAATAGACAATTAAATGAATTACAATAAACTAAAAACAATTAGGAGATGGATTGTTCAAACTACAATAGAATAAAAAAAGAATTGTACGCTGAAAAAAAGAAGAAGAAGAAAGATAATTGTTTGGTAATACATTCTTTTTGTAATGCTTTGAATGAAAAACTATTATTGTAATAATAGATACAAGAAATAAAAAATTGAATCAACTAATTAATATAATATTATATTAATGTTGATTTATAATTGCTATATATCAGTTATCATTGATATTTTTATCAAATGGATGCATCTAGTACAATAGATTTATATTTTGATTAGATTTTTGAGTTATGAAATAAATATAAAGATAAGTTATGTTAAAGTATTATTTCTTGCCTAAGTTGAATTAAGTTGCTTCTTGGACAAAATATTTATATATTATAAATTGCATAAAAAAGTTATTTTTATTTTATTTTATTTTAGTTTATTTAATTTGTACTTAATTGTTTTTTGAGGTATGTATTGAAACCAATTAAGGAATCGCAAAGTGGTGTTTAAATAGTTTGATTGATCAATGTAATCTAATTGTTCTATCATTTAGGTTTTGTAACATTACATTATTTTTTTTTGAGGCTTTTAGGAAGAATTTTGTCTATACAAAATATATTGATGTATGGTTAAAAAATAAAATAAAACGTATATTCTAATATTGTTTTGCATTAATGAGTATACAGTGCAAAATATATTACCTAAAATAGAAACCATATACAGATTTTGTTACTAAATTCTTCTTTTGGAGGTTTATGTGATATGTATATATATATATATATATATATTGATTTTTTTAATTGATACATAAATGTGTCTACTAGAATTTAATAATATGATTTTATACTAACTTTTTTATAGATAAATTATAACTTATATGACATAATTAGTAAATGTACCATATTAGAATTACAATCATTAAAATCAATTATTCTTCTCAAATTTTAAGAAATATTTTTAGCTTATTTATATAAATATGTTAACAAATTCGAAATAGGTAAAAATAATGTAATGATATGAATTTAATACTTTATTTATAGATGTAATCATATTTTTGATATTAAATATGGTCTTTACTTTTGTTATTTGTTTGGAGATATGAAAGTACGAGTCAGATAAAAATTAATAAAATATTAATTACAATAAAAATCTCTGAAAGCATGTGTAATTATGAAAAATGGAGTTTATGAACCTAAACAATATTTTTTCTTTTCTTTTTTTCTTTTTCACAAGTAATGTTTTAAAAACCTTTGCATAAAATATTCATAGTTTGAAAATTAATGACAAGTGAGGGATTGACTGGAGACTGCTCTAGGGTAGTGTACCTTATTTTAAGGCGACATGTTTTAAGATTGTTTTTTTTTTTTGTTTTGTGTTTTGTGTTTATTTTATTTTATTTTATTTTATGTTATTTTTTGTATAAGAGTTGGGAAGTGAGTGAAAGGGTTTGGAGGTCAAGTCTTCGACGTATGGAATAATGCAGTAGATGGACAGTATGTACCATAGTATTAAAGTCATCCATGGATGGGGTAGGAGAGGCTGGGAATGAGTGGGGGGCATAAGTACTACAGCCGCAGTCTCACCCTCTTTCTTCTTCCTCTACAGTCCCCCCTAAGTTGAAATAATGTGCCATAGTTGAATCCAGCCAGAATCCACACTCTTTTGTACATGTCTTAGGGAATTTGCAGATTGTTTGTCCTTCCTTGTGTTGTTGAATTTCAACTCCAATATGGTTTACAAATTGTGAAACAAGGATTAAAATAATGATTTCTATCAATCAATTGATGTTAAATTCCATCCCATCAAACACATACAGAAGATAAAGGTGAAACATTGTTGTGGTATTAGTGATAAAAGTATTCCATCCACAAGAAGAAGCCCAAGATTTGAATTTCGACTGTGATCAACTGTCTGGGTGCTTGGTCCTATGGAGGTTAAAGGAATTAGGGCATCTCCACAATAGGTAGACGAGGCAACAAAGGGGGTTGTGTAGGGTTAAGGTGAACTGGGTCACCACCATGGGCAGTAAATACACCTTACCTAGGATGGTGAATAGAGAAGGTAGGAGGTACATCTGCTAAGCAATTGGAGAATATTCCAGTGTGGAGAAGAGAATATGACTAGCACTAAGTCTCCAAATGTGTGGATATTAGGTATTGTCGGTTTGGATATGTAATTTTGGTTGCCAAATGGTTAATACTTGACCCCTAGTCCAGTGTGTACCTAATATAGTAATTCTTTAGTAATTCATAGCTGAGATCTAGAGTGAATGAGTGCAGTTGTTTAGTAGGTGAGGGAGCTGGAGTGATGGAAAAGAATCTTGGTTGCTGTCACATCACACCATCTCTCAACTGCTAATCCAAGTTACCCACCCTTATTTGTTTTTACTAACTTGCCCAATTCTTAAGTTAGGAATGGCTGTGGGTCTCCATCTGGTTAGTCATGAATCTTCTGCCACAGTATTAAAATTGCTGCTTCATTAGCCACCCTTAGTGACATCACATAGTTCCAATGACAAAGTGTGCCTTTGCAAGAGACTGCCAAGGCACAGTTGCAGCAGTCATGTGGAGATTGAGGAATGAATTGCTGCTGCTGCTGGGGGAGATGATTTTTGAAATCCAAAAGAGACCATGAAGAGAGGGCTGATACAGTATCCAGAATATTGCAAAGGAAGATGACAACATAATGAGAGAGAGAGGCTGGTAAGTTGACAAGGAGAGTAAAAGAGAGAGAGGATGGGGGAGAGTGGGGGGGGGGGGGAGTCACGCAGAAGGCGTTCACGAGGGAAGGGAGGGAGGGAGGGGGGTACTTGGCTTAATGATGGAAGCACCACGGAGATGGCTCTTAGATAATCCCACCAAACATTAAATCGGAAGGAAGGAAGGGGAGTAAGGAACAAGGGCAGGGACGGAGGGAGTCAGTCAGAGATCGAAGACGCGTGCCTCCCTCCGGGAATATGCACAGAACGAATCCCAAGGATCCGATCAACTGCAGCTCAGCTGCCTTAGAAGAAGGAAAAGAAAAGATAGAGAGAAGGAGAGAGAAGAAAGAGAGACATAGGGAAGGAAGGAAGGAAGGAAGCGGGGGAAAGAAGGAAAGGGAAGGGGAGAGACGGGGGGGGGGAGGATCTGAGGAGTGGGGGATCAAGAATCTTCCCCCAGGATCATGCTTCCCTTGCCGGCTGCCTGCCTGACTGCCTGCCTGCACTTCACTAGCACTCTCACTCACTCTCTCACTCTCTTACTCACTCTCCCACGACACCATCCCCCCTCCCCCTCTCTCTCTCTCTCGCACTTCCCTCCCTCCCCGTTCTTCTGTGGCCTTCTCTCTCTTCTCTCGAGCCTCCCGGATCTTCATCATCGGACAATTTCGTTCGGTGTATCTCTCCACCTCGTTTCTCTGCCCTTTCTTGGCTAAGCTCCGATCTTCCTCCTGCTTCTCATCATCGTTGCTCATACGGTCTCCTCCCTCACTTGCACTCGTCGTCTTCCATTCCCATTGTGAAGTCTCTACCTTTTCTCGCTTCTTCTCGCATTCCCATCCTTGGGTCCTGCGCTGAGTCTGCGTCCCTGCACCAGGACAGCCCACCTCTGCTTGGGCCCTGTACCCACTCCCTCCCGCCCATTTTCTTTTCCCATTCGTCATTTGCGTCCTCATCACTCAATGCCCGTCGTCTCGTTTCTGTCCCCGCTACTTCATGTTGCTTCATTTTGTCGCGTATCGGTGTATTGAGAATGAATATTCGCTGTTCCACCATTCCGCTGGCTTAGGGGAGACTATGGTTTAGTCCAGTTTACCACAAGTGCAGCAGTTTTCTGATGATGGTCCAGACGTGAGGTATCCGAAGTTGATGACGCTTGTTTATTCAAATTGAAGACTGACCGAAAAGATCAAATCATGACCTCGTGTTGCTGTAGTTTCGAAATGGTGGCTGTAAAGACTTATTACTTGCAGGAGACGTCACCTTCCGCTGCATTTATCTTCAGGTGCAACTCGCTTCTATACTTGCATGTTCACCGGCACGAAGTATATTTGCAGACTCTTTTAATTATTTTAGTTGATTGTAGGTACGAAGTACAATACCATTTCAAACATAAGATGAGCTGCAAAATATTTCATCGAAGCTGATATGAGATTTTGCTATGACTGGGTGAATTGAATTTTGATCCTTAAAGAGCATGACAGGGTTATGAGCATTTTGAAGTAGGTTTCAGTTATCTCCTCGTATATCGAAATTGTGTATTTCATACACAGGAACGTTTTCAATTCAATAATTAAATTTGGGTGCGAGTATGAATTACGGATAGTAGCGAATGAGTTCATGCTGAAGAAGGAAACAGGATTATTCACAATCGCTTCGTGTTTCCGAATAAGTTCACTGTCCTTTTTATATGGTTGGGACTCTTCGTGTGGCTTTGAGGAAGTCTTCGTCTTGCCATGGCCACTTAAAGCTTGAGCAAGAACTTCGCGCCTATAGCATGGTAGAAGTCAGTATTTGTTTCGTGTAATGCGCCCTCGGCAAGTTTTCAAGCTAAACCCTCGCTATTTCTTAGTAAAGTAGTTTTCAGATTATTTCGATGATGAAATAGTTCCACATTGAGTCGCTAAGGGGTTTTCGTCTGCAAACAGAGATTGAGAGTTTCGAAGTGCCAGGTGCGGAAAAGAGGATCCGGATATTCTTGCAGGCATGGGTTCACCAGCAAATCTCGCCTTAGGGCCCCAGGTGTCAACAATCACTTCGACCATTGAGACTGCGTTGAACTGTACCGTTTCTGCTGATGGGCTCGAGGCGGATGAAATACAAAAAATTGCTGCGCATTTGCGTGCCCTCCAAGAGGAGAGGGGCAAAATCGAAGCGTTCAAGAGAGAGTTGCCACTTTGCATGCAGCTCCTTGACGAAGGTTGGTCATGATCTGTGAACCTTTTTCACTCTCAGTTTAGAACAAGTTGAATGGAACCCAACATATGATTTCACATTCAAGAATGTAAGCTTGTTTTGGTAGGCCAGGCGCTGTTATAGAAACTTAAAGTACGACTTCAGTTTTTTTTTTTTTTTTTTTTTTTTTTTTTTTTTTTTTTGGGATATATTTTGCAAAAATGTATTCAATATTCGGAACCAAACTTCTGCTCGGGATGCCGCATATTCCTGGGGATGAATAATTATTTTGGAACATTGTTTCATATTTGGATTTTTCATAGTTGCAAAGCAGATTGGTGCCATTGATGCGGGGTAGTGTCTTCTGTATAATAAGGTGGATCTTGGAAACTGAGTCATTGACGCCAATGCTAGATTGACGACTAGGGTACTTTGTCATAAAGATTTTACTGTCTTTCCGTCTTTTAGTTGTGCAAAATTTGAACTGCAGTTTTGTGCATGTGGATGTGTGATTGCTTAGTGTATTACGCTCATAATCAACGTGAGTGGCCTCTCTTTTGCAGCCATTGAGACCGCAATAAACAAAGTGATGGTCGATCAGTGCTCACCCACAGCCAGCCTCCAGACCAGCGTGCTGGATGCACAAGATTCTGATTACGAGAGGCCGAAAAGAACGTTGGTCCTGGAGAATTTCATGCCATTGAAGCGACGGTGGGAAAAACAGTTAAAGGAAAAGATCTTTCAAAATGACGCAGGTAATAATTCCCAACAACACGAAGACAAGGTTGTCATTGGGAGGCCAGCATGGATGAAAGAAACTCAGCTATGGACTAAACAATCAGAAAGCATTGATTACGAGGTATTCTTTTTTCTTTCTCAGACCTGTTTTTTGGTGTTCGGCATTGCAAGTTTTTCTACTTGTGCCATGAAGGCGTGGAGTGGGTTGAAAACGTGTGCGGTTACTAGGAGTATTGTAAATTTTTTTTGTCTTTATGTGAGTTGAAGTCAACATCTACACCTATTCCGTATTGTTGCTCCTGACTGCGGTTGTGATAGGCATCCTTTCAGAGAAGATATTTTTGTCATCATGTGTGGAGCGGAATGAGGAACTGAATGTTTGTCTGTTTGCTGATTCAGAAGGCGTCACCTTCAAGAGGCTCCAGACGACAGGTGGAATTCAAATGTAGTGAACAAGACAGACCTCTGACAAGCTCTCGACTTCTTTTGAATTCAAAGGATCGGCAAGGAGGGGCTTTTGTTCCTTTCAATCGAGAGAAACAGTTACCCAGCCCCCCCTTTTCATCGCAGTCTACAGGACCTGCATCAGATGCAGCTGGCTTCAGTACCTCATCAGCAGTTCGTACTCCAAGTCGAATGGGCCACACAATTGAGAGTTTTGACATCGGAAGGGTGAATGGAAATGTTCATGTTCGAGATCATAGCTCAGATGCCCGAAATTCAATTGACCACTCCGTACAAACTAGAACTGGAGCTAACCAGCCACAGCGAAAGGCTCGAAGGTGATATTCTTTCCTCGTCGGATATCTCTTTCAAACGACGAAACGAGGATGGTTACTGGATTTTTAAGTGTTAGATGAAGCTGAAGTCTACAGCATGTTTTCTCTATCATATTTTGGCAATGGTGTGTCTAAGTTCTCTGTCAGCTGACTAAATGTGGTTATTGTGATATAGATGTTGGTCACCTGAGCTGCACCGTCGCTTTGTTAGTGCTCTACAGCAGCTTGGAGGTTCACAAGGTTTCTACATACTTTTGTTGGACAAAAATCACTGTACAAGTTGATAGGAATTTGACATATCTGTTTTCAGTACTGAAGTTGTAAGTTGAAGAACAATGGATCCTGACGCATTTTCGTGTTGTAACAGTTGCAACACCCAAACAGATCCGCGAGTTGATGAAAGTGGATGGCCTCACGAACGACGAAGTGAAGAGTCATCTGCAGGTGCTGATATTGATTTGACAGTCTAGTATTCTTGCTCTAACTGGCTTAGTGTTTCTTCCCTGTCTGCGTTGCAGTCCCAACTAACTCCCAAGTGATCTCTGGATTTAGAAATATCGTTTACACACAAGAAGACCAAGTCCATCGCCACCTAGTCCTTCACACGCGCCCCAGCTCGTAGTAGTCGGCTGGGTACGGCCGGAATTCACAGCAGTTGAGGGAGCAGCCTCACAAGCATCAACAGGAGACAATCCTCTGCCTGGTATTTCAAACGAATGCGTGCCGTCACAATCCACAGGACAGCCCCAGAAGCAGTCTCCTCCAAATTTTCAGAAACATTTGCCAGCAGTTTCTACCTCTCAGACCTCCTTGCGGGTAATACTTCTAATTCTCACCGTTTAAGATCTACTCTTGAATACCCTCAAAGACATGTGAGGAGAGCTAAGTTGAAATTAAAGTTTTGAATACATTGGGGGAATGTGGGTCGATTCATTATGCTAGCGAAAAATGGCTTCAGCCAAAGCATGTCTTAAGTCATAAATGTTAATGAGCGAATGACTCTCATGCAAACGTCTCTGGAATTTTATCATCTGGAAAAGTTTTTTTCTCATGGAAAGACTCTTGGCAGTGACATTTTTAAACAAGATAATCAAATATGTGACTTTCTGCAGGGACCCTCTCCTGTCGGAGTCGATTCCCCGCACTCCAGCAGTGATTCATACATCGACGAGTCTGATGACGAACAGGATGGAAATTGTACTAGTTCTGGTGAAAATGGAAGGCAGTACGAATGTAATGAAAAACCTTTGCAATCTGCTAGGGAGTCCAAGGGTAGCACAACATGTCTCGCTGATATTGACGCCACAATAAACCCCCAGATGAAGCTGCGTATCTTGAGGAAAACCAAAGCTGCAGCCTGATTATGTAATAACATTTGATCCAGCCATGTACAGCTTAAATTTTTCGTCGAAAGATTCTGTTGAAGAGAGGATTCTGTGCAGTTTCAGGCTGCCGCTGCCTTAATAACTGTAAATTTGAGTCGTGTAGCTCTGGTAATCAGACTACGTTTCAGTTTAATTTGAGAATATGCGATGCGCTGAGTGGTAGATAGCCTTGGAAAGTACTAGACTGTCTGATAAATACTTTGACTGCTTGTGTACTGCAAACTGTATCAAGACGAATATTTATTTAAAACTAACTCTGTTTACTCGAAATGGAACATCTGTACCAAAAGCAATGATACGCTACGATATGTTTTGTGAAGTTGACGATGAGATAGCGGCCAGGGTGCACAGGCGCACGATACGTGCTAAACGGAATGTGATAAGGATTGTGTTGAAGAGTGGTTTTAATGTAAATTTTATGCGGATAATTATGCATGATTTTGCATGGGATTATCGCAGGGCAAGGTTGGAAGATATCTTTGGTCAATTTAAGAAAGTTAGCTAAGATCAATTTGAGATTAAAACAATTTTAAGAGTGCAATTATTAACAGGAAAGTTTTCCCAGCACTCTTCCATTCATATTCGTAGTGAGTTAGCCATTAAGCAAGGTTTGCAAAGGCGCTTATAGAACTTGTCCTGCATCATGTTGACCTATGTTGGTGGGAATGTGACACACACAGCCTAAACTCTGCAGCCCATTCTGACACTAGAGGATTCAACCGGCACCGAATATGCCTGAACCATCAGTAAGAGGTGTGATTTGGCGGGATCTTTGACTACAGTGACAAAGTCAGGTTTGAAAATACACGTCAAGGTGAAAGAACATTTAATCTCTGATGCAATAAATTAAACACGCTTTGTCCGCGGTACGACTTGGTCTAACATTAATGAAGTGGTCCCTACGTAGTGGTTATGTAAAGTAGTACATAGAGTCGGCAAGCATCGCAGTTTGAGATGCGGTATTCCTTATTAGCAGCTCTCCACCTCAGGATTGACAGAAGAGAAATTGGTGGAGTTATAGTTGGTAAAGAATTTATACTGATACACCAAATGTGGAACTGAAGGCTGAAATGTCTGAGGCTCCACATTCAGCATCTGCTTCAAAATCTGCGCATTCTCTGGGATCGTGCTCAGAATGATCTTTCCTCCGTCTTTGAGCAACAGAAGGGTTGCCTCAGCATACTTCGCCCACACCTCCGATGTGACGAAGGGGGGATCAATCACCACACAGTCGAACTCGTGGTGCATTTTAACCTCTATCTGCGTGGGCTGATTGTAGTTCCAGTTCACAAAGTTGGAGTGTTTCTCCCATTGTATATCCACCTGCTTATCACATATGATTCGCCCCGTTAAATGCTGTAAACTAGTTACGCAGTCCAAATTAGCCAATCTATGAAACAAAGAAACACTGATGCATCCTTTATTTATTCTATTCCAAAATGACCTATTCTAATTGCACACAAAGTGGTAGGAAACATATTTACATCGAAAAAGAAGCTGCGTTGTTTTATTTCTTGGTTGTCGAGGGAGAACCACACGCTAGGGGTTGATAAGAAAGCAACTTTGGTGGCATGTTCCTCGATTTCCTTGGTTAGCATGGCTATGGTACTGGGAGCATACCAGTACTGATTGAGCTCCCATTTCTCCCGTGTTCTGGCCAAGAATCTGTTCTTGCGAGGAATATCCATCACTGAGGCTACTGGTTCATTCGGAGAATCCATCAAGATCTGACGCTACCGAAAAGGTAGCAACGCCGTTGTCGATGAATGTTCTCGAATTTAAGTTCCCTATGTTATTGAGAAGAGCTCAGCAATTTGGCGATAGCCGATGCATCCACAGTAATTCTTCCTGCACCATCAGCATGCTTCTTAGCAATCAGGATTGTCGCGCTGCCAACATCCATGACTTGAAGAGGTAAAAGCAGGTGATCACATCCACCCCCCTGCAACCAGGAAGATAAGAATTTGCTTCAGTCCTTTTCACAAATGGAGTTACGCTCTCACGAAGTTGATCACTATGTCGCTTGCCACAAATAACTTAATAATGGGACTCTGTTGTAGCTACTGCCCACAACGGAAGCTGCTACTAAGATTCACCGCACCTGTGGATGCGAGATAGAACAAGACCAGTTGCACGTGAGTAATCTGTTTATATCGTTTCTGCTATATATCTCTACAGTACAATACCTAAAGAACTCAACCTCAACACCGCTAAGCAGCCAGTCGAGGCACTCGATGTGTGTCTCTCTCACTCGAAGGACCACAAACTCCCATTTCTCCATACACAGAGAATTCCAGAGCCGCAAGTTCTAAGACATTTAGCAGCGGCGGAATACACTAAGCGGCAGATTTTGAAACAGCAGCAGATGGTCCGTAATGATCTCAGGCATTGACAGAGAAATCACTACGAAATTTGACAAATCTTGCTTAAAGCTTACGCGCCTCTTCAACGCACAAGAAAATGCCAATAGAAGAGCACATACCTACCATGCACCTCCAGATCACATTTTTGCTACCCCTTGTAACGCTCAGATATCCTTAGGCTAGCAAATCAGAAGCTATAGAAAAGAATCCCACCCCATCAACAATACCCACACCACAAAAAAAAATGCCTAGAGCAACACCTCCGTACAAGAGTCGTCCAAAACATCCACACACAGCAAGAAGTGGCTTCTGGAGACGATCTTAGCCGTAGCCCACCAAACGGCGAAATATGGAAGGTGCAACACAAAAGGAGTATCAAAGATTGAAGTTCTACATTAAGACGTTCTGACTCCTGGGAAGTCGGCCATTTAACTGTGGGCAGTGGCGCTAGCCTCTGCCGTTTCTGATGCCAGCGAAAGAGAGGGAAGAGAAATTACACGAACCATTAAATAAGCAAAGCGAAGAAGCTACCTTCCATTGCGTGGCTTCGACCTACTTCATCTGCCGTTGGTGCTAGGTCACCAAGTCGGGAACTCATCGATCGCTAATACGCATCTCCTTTCTGTGACCTGACCTGCACAACTGTTCCAACTGATGGACGTGTGACACAGTTATCTGACGGAGTGAGCATATCTTCCACGGTGTAGGGTCCATCAATCAAACAACATAAGTTCTTAACCTACATCTCCTCAGTGATCAAAAATATTCTGGCGCAGTTGGCAGCATGTTCGCCCAGCATTAGCTCCAGAGGTTATTGACTCGTTCCTCGTTGGATGGCACTCCAACGGGAAGGTTCTATCGCGAAGTAATCAGCGTCATTAACACTGTAAACACCGCATGAATTGCTGTCACTGATGCCCGACAGGTATTGTCCGTCTTTAGACACAGTTCCAGGATTTCTAAGGCACTGCATTGGTTTAAAATACGACAATGTTTCCGGATCTGAGCAGTTGTGATGGCCACCTCTTTTTGTCCAAAATTCATGCGAACAATGCTCACTCAAGGGACTCGAATACCAACCCAGAGGACACTGCACTCAAAGAATGTCGACAAAACATACTACCAGTGATTTGTCATTGTAGAACAGACACTTTTTGACTGGACACAGCCTCGTTCTCGTGTCAGTTTGCTTTGTCACAGTTGCAGCAGTACTGGGCCAACTTGTACAAAGACAGGACCATGAACCATTAAGAGGATAAGACAGTCTGATGTGATCCGATTCATGAAGAGCATGGTAAATAAAGAGGTCGTGGGCAGGTGTTAGTCTTTAGAAGATTGGCTTCAACAGACTTAATCGATGTATGGCGCATGAAAAAAGGTCTTCATACTTAATCATAAAAGAGCGTATGTTTACACAAATATCAGGCCCGCACAATTGGAAAAAAAGAGAACGAGGTGGGGCAAAACGCGAAGGAACACGCTCTGCTGTGTTGACAGAGAGCAAACCCCATTGCAAGGTTTTCTGCTTTGATGTGTTGTCGATGGGGTTCGCGTAAGCTATCACGTACAATCATTTGTCAGATTTGGGATGGTCGGAATCACTGTGGTCAGCATCCGGGACTACGGCATTGGAAGACATCAAAATGACGCTTTTCATCCTTTCCTCGTACAAGCCAGCCACATAGTAACACGCCCAGCCTGCAAAAGCCCCAATCACAAGGTCTATAGTGTAATGACCCCGAGAGGCAAGGAGTCGCACCATTTGAAGCACATTCAGTGTGTCCATCAACAGAGCACCTCGCATCCGGTTCACATCCCGCAAGTCCAAGGAGCAAATAACGGAGGCTCCAACGTGCCCCGAAAAGAAGAGGAAAAACGAATAGTCACCAACTGGAAAGTCGACCGCAGAGTCGAGAAAGTCCTACCACAAAATACGTCGTCAAAACATGTAAACAAGAGTTTAGGAAATCGACTGAAACATTACGAGAAAAAGTTGCATAATATGCAAGCGAAGATACACAACTACGACAAAACGTAATTTATTTTAAATTAGATTGTAACGACTTGAAAATTTGAAGCGTAAGACTGCGGTTTGGAGGCATACCTTGGGAAGGGGAAGTTGAGTGGAGTAGCCGAGAAAGCCGCGGCTGCTGTACATGAATGCCGACGCAAGAGTGGGGCGAAATCGGCCCTCCACTGCCCACACCCACGCAATATATAAAATCTGGAACACCACCAGAACCTGCAGGTTTTTTGACCGTCAAATTAACTGGCCATGATCGCTCGAGCTTTAGAATCTATATATTTCAACAGCACATGATACTGCTACACAATGCAATGCAGTTGACTGTAACCCAGACTTAGTATTCAAACGTGCAAACTGATCACCAAATAGCAGCGAAATCGTTGTAGTTCCAAACCCTGCTACGTAATGGCTTAAAAAAACAAACCGCATAGTCCCTCTTCAAAGTCGTCCAGTGCAAGAGATAATATCCACTCATGCAGGCAATTCCGGAGTTTACGTGCAATGAAGAAGACCAATAATTCATCCCAATCAAAAAAATTATCACAGAAACTCGTTTTTATTCTGACCCATTGTGCAGTATACTGGTCGAATGGAATGATTAGAGCGGCATGAACTCACCGTATTAGCCGCAGCAAGCAAGTGATGCCAACTAGTGTTCTCCTTCAAAAACTTGTGCAAGCGATCAGTAACTACGAAACCAGCGTCGTAAGCCTCGCCCCCAGGCGCCACCATAGTCAGGTTGTACTCCAACGGTACCATCAGTGGCCACAGGATTGATAACAAGATGAGCAATGGATGCGCCTGGACAATACGGCAGAGCTTGGCTGGTCTCCAGCTTAGGAATGCTGGCGAAAATCTGTGCTTGGATGTGAATCGTTTTCCGACTGCATCCATTGGTCGCTTAGGTTGAGGCCTGGAGTTCAGCGACATAGATTTGGAAACTCTTTTCACTGCTCCCTCGCACATGCTGCGCGATCCCGGCGCAATCCCCTGGATCGAAACAAAACTATCTCCTGCACGTTCTTCAGTGTGATTTGAATTTAAGAATACGGAGCCACTGTTTTCCGCTAATACGCGCATAGCGCTTACATTGATTCTGCAATTTCTGAACGCAGAGAGGAACAACGGAGCACACATAAATACAGGACTAAATCAGATGAATCTATCATTCGGTCATACATGATTAAGATGAGTGTCTCTCAAAAATGAGAACTAAAACGACGAGAAGACATTTAATGCAGGGCACACACTAAAACTTGAATACGTTCACTTAGAGAATAAAGTACTAATTCTTAGAGTAGAAAACCAAGTGAGAAAGAAGAAAAAACTAGACATGAGGACCCATCCACGTGTGACAGAAACCGAACTGACGCCGCACACACTCCCCTCCCCTGGAAACGGACAGCAATCAATGACTTGGTCTGCACACCTCGCAAGGACGTTACTCTGTATATTCAGGACCAATAAATCGACGAAGCGAAAGTAAAACTGCTTGACAAATCGTGACCTTGACAGGCGGACACCAAGAACAAGCCAGGGCTACCAGAGCATGCCCCATGCAAAATCCCAGAATGCGATCTGAGGTCATCCAAGCAAGCCAAGCCCAACACGAGAATCGACAGGATACTCACATTGATTATTCCGCGAAAAATGAAGACGAGAATCAGGAGGAGAAAAGGGGAGAGAGGGAGAGGGAAAAGAATGAGTTATGCAGGCTCATGTGATGTATCGACGGAGCGGAGTAGCAGTAGCACATCAGTGGATGCGACAGCAAGGGGGGGAAGAGGGTTGGGGTGGGGGCGGGGGCAGGGGCAGGGGAGGAGGGGCACAGGAATCATGTGACCCAAAGGGGGGATGTGGGAGTGGGAGTGGGAGAGGCAGAGTGAATGGAAAGCGAGGGTGATGGAGTCCAATGAACTTTCTGTCCTCCTGCACACTCCCCCCAAATCCCGCTGCCCGGCCATCGTCGTCTGGACTAGTTTCAGTCCGAGACGGGACGAGACCAGACTAGACGAGGCGAGCCCCGCATGCCACCCACCACCCGAGGGCCATTTCAAGCTTGTGTCTAGTCCAACTGGGGTGGCGTTGCTGTCGGATCTTTGCAGCCACACCCGACCCCGTCTGTCTGTTAGCCCCGATTTTCTGCCTTGGCCTCTCCGCCCGCTCCTGCCCCATCGCCATCATGCTTGCTGACATCACGAGATTCAGCCCTTGACGGCTAGATATGCGCAGCTTTACTTATTCCTTATTGAATCCTCATTTAGAAATTGCAGTCCCTTTCGAATCATAAGATTCTCATGCGTTTTCTTTTTCTTCGCGTGAATTATTTCTGTATGCCAATCGATACTTTTTTACGACAGTTGCCTGTGGTTGTGCACAACGCCAAGTACACGTGAAAGAAAACCCCTTTTGCATCTGTAAGCTCGAACCGTTCTTTGCTTGTTTTCATCAGTCAAATTTTGCGCTCCAAGAGCTGATGTGTACGTGGCATTTGCAACGAAGCATTATTTAATTCAGTAAGGAAGTTTCACGCCGCCTCAGTTCTAAAAGAGTAAAATCATCAAAAATAATAGCATCTAGAACTCACGATGTATATCTAACACCATCACCAATTGCACCATGGTTAGATTCCAAACTAGGATGGAATATTTCTTCCCACATTGCATCAAGTTGGGCGTTTTGTTACTTTTGGGTGTTTCTGGTATTCTGCCCCGCACTAGAAGCTTCAACAGTAGTTCATGACGAGCTTGCAGGGAGTCACATTGTAGAAAATGAGTAGCAACTGTGGAATTTAAAGGGAATCACAACTAGTGCCTAGCTCGGCCGGGCAGTTGAAGTGGTTTGCGTCATTTCTGTTGCTTATTTATTCTGGAGTACGTGAATGCAAGAGATTTATTACAGTAAAAGGTAAAAAGTTATTCATCGAATGCCATGGGTGTTAGTTTGCTACAAGTAAGAAATTACAACGATAACACGGCATGTTAATGTGTATACACGCAACTTTGGCGAGTTTGGATCAGAGCAGTTGACCAAGTTGAACGCTTTCCTAGAAGAGAGTTATAACGACCTATTTTCGTCATACCGTCTTTAATGCAAGGCTGAGTGTGAATCAACGTGTTTTTTGTGTAGCAAGTTACGTTTACAAGTTCTATTGACCAATCACCCTCGTGTGAAATGTGCTGGGCATTCTTGCCAGTGAAGGAAGAGAAGTTCCACCAAATTCAATGGAAGCAAATTGCTCATTTTCACAACGTAGCTTGCAGATTATGTAATAAGATTTAACTTATGTAATCTGCGTTTGGAAATATAATGTATGATCCCCACTAATCTCCTTGCATGTTTGTTTGATCCACAAATGCACATTTGTCATAACATCCAATCTGCTCCGTGATGGCCTTGGATAGTGCTGACCTTGAACTACAAGCGTTCTACCTATCAAGCCATCTGTAGATTTCATTCAATGCGACTTCGTGAGCTCACCTTGCCGGCTACAGCTCCACAGTAAGGAATGTCCACTAACTTAGAAGTCCTAAAATATTTTCCGAGCGTTAGAGAAAGACGCTGGGTCCGTTTCAAACAGAAGGGGTTGGGCTTGGCACTGTGCCGTCCTCAAGGGCACTAGTTGTTCTTCCAATTGAAAGGTGGTTACACAAAGAAGAGTGATAACCATCGCCTGCTGTCATCTTCAGACATTACAACTACACGCTTGCGTTGCAAGCTTTCCTTGATCCCATCAATTATAATCTCGGCAACTGTAGACCATTCTGCCGCAGGGTCATGGAGTTTATCACTATTCACAGTTTCTTCTTTCCGATCTTCAAGACCACTCGCCAGGCCCACTGTGTTCTCTACTACTTCTTCCTTACAGTCAAATGAACTCAAATTGCCATCAAATCTGCCAAGGATAGGAACAGGGCGAGGACAATTCTCTACACTGTCTTCCTAAGTCCACAACCGACTGGGAACATGAACAAACATGGGCTTCTTGTTTTCATTCGGCTTTGGGTTTCTCGGCGGTGCCAGTTTGTCTAAAACACTCCCTGGCTTAATTCGGCAGCTTGGACAGACCTAGTTGCTTCTGCGAGGAGACGTCGGGTTTCTCTCAAAGTAGCCAAAGTAGCAGGGTCAGCATTCCCCACTTTTTCCAAAGCAATTGCTGCTTTCTCAGCGTTTGCAATTAGCATGCTGAAAACCATATCCCAACAGTACAAATAATTAGAGCTATTGTACTACATGGAGGTGCTAAAATGAAAGTACAAATAAAACTGCCGAATCTCCAGTAACTTAAGATAAAACCCGGCTTTCAAACTTGTTCATGGCATCGCAGCAAAAATATTCAATAATAGATGTATCCTCCAATAAAAACCAATTGTTGCAAATTTGATGATAACAAGGTTGTGCATTAGAAAATAACACATATACAGTGACAGAAGTCTCACCGTGCTCGATCTGCAGCTTCCTTCCGCTTCAGTTCAACCTCAAGCCGACCCTCACGCAGCTGTTGGATTCTCTGTACTTTCTCCAGCACAAGAGGGTCTTTGTACGATTGTGCAGATATTCGGCTAGAAAGCAAGGCATTTCCTGGTCCCGTGGTTGAAGTTCTAACATCAGATTCTGGAACAGCTCTCTTCACTGGCAAGGCCACTTCTGGCCTTCTTTTATCTGTCATAATACCTGTCATTCTATCAACATTTGATAGCATACTATGATCTCTCCTATTAACTAGAGTAACTTTTGTTGGCCCCTTCTTTCTAGCAGCAGTGGATCGCTCACTTTTTGATTGTAGTGTAACTTCTTCAGCTAGGACTTGAGCGATAAAAGCTTCATCGTCTGTAGGCTGAGGCGATCTTTTCTTCTCTACTAAAATTTCGTCGGGGGAAGCGTCTGTATTTACCATCTTGGTGGAAGTTACTTCAATATTTGGAGTATTCGAAATAAATTTACTTGATGGAGGTGGACGCTGTCGCCCTTTCATGCCAACTTTTTTAGCCATGCCAGCAAACACCCTTGCTTGATATTCCTGCAGAAATTGAACCAACATGTAATGTCAAGCATGACCAGAGTCACCTCTCGGAACATATTAATGACAAACTTGGAAACTATATATCACAACTAAGCCAAGACATGTTCGGCAGTAAATCAACTTAAGTCATGAACCACACTCAAATAAATGGACAGAAGTGATGACATAATTGATTGCTGACTTTGTCATCTAAGTTTTACCTGTACTCAATAGACGAAGGGAACACATGATAAAATAAAGTAATACTGAAAGAACTGCGTCAGGTATACTGTCCATACCGGGTCATTCCACTTGGCTCTAATGGCATCGGAAATGGCCTTTCGATGGGCATCAGAGACAGGCAATTTTTTTCGTTCCAGCTTCTTACGCGCTCTTTGAGCCTCTCTAGCTTGTCTAACTGCTCGAAGTTCTTCCAGCCTATACTGTTCTTTAACTTTCGAGTAAGAATCCCACTCGTACTCTTCCTCTCCAGGGGCTCCAACTCTTGCAGCATTAGCTGTCACTTCTTTCCATTCTAGAAGACACAGAGCTTGCGCTTCTTTGATGACCCTCTTTTTATCCCAGTAGTCGATCAAGCTTTCGCGAATTTTTGCCTTCGTTTTAGTGCTGAAGACATCACGCGGGAGGTCAGGTGTTCATACGACCAAGCTTATTGAATTAAGAATCAAGCGCTGTTCCATGCATGTGAATATTTCTCGTGACACATTGATAAAGCGCTATGATTATCATCAGGATCTTAAGTACCAAATCGGTGTACAAAGACCTCTTTTAAAATAACACAAGATTGAGAAAAAAACGTTCTTAGAAGAAAGCAGTTACCTCTGATTCTTTCCGCAATGGCGAAGCTTGTCCCGTACCTGAATCAAACAGAAACATGGGTACAAGTGATTCACAGAAAGAAACAAACAGAGTGTTGTTCACAACGGCATTCTGATGTACTAATATATCGGTGGAGCTTTTCTAAATATTACGAAGAACGTGCTGCCTACACAGTCGTGAAAAGATACTGATCACATATTATGTACAATGCTCACTTCTGGATTGAGCATAGCCACTTTGGTCCGTTCTTTTATTTTCTTGATCGTTTCTGCGCAGCATACAAACGACAAAAAATCAAACGCAGGCTCTAGCACAATAAAACCACAGAGCATCAGGCAAGCTTTCATCACCAACCTAGACGATCCTTGTCTGAGAAAAAATACTCATGTTCATGTCATACTCTATCCAACAAAACTACCTGATAAACCCCAAACCTCAAAACAATACATTCTACAAACAAGGCCAGTAAACCATAATGCATACCCGGTGAGTGACGTCTTCCCTTATTCCAGGGCACTCTTCCTTTGTTGGCGCTTGCTATTCTCTCTCGACGCAATTGTTCACGAGAATCGACGGTACTGTTAGTATTGTATAATCCTCCACCATCAGCCTCCTGATCCTCGCTGCTCAATGCTGGTGGTTCATAGCTAAAAGTGAGCAGTGGCTCTGAGTCCCTATCCTCTGATGTAACTATAGGTCGCCTACCTTGTGCAACACTTGCTGTTGGTACGAATATCCATGGGTTTCGGAAAGTCCTAGTTGCATGGTTGAAATGTAGTAGGAAAGGAAATGAAAAAATTCGACGATGCCATCGAGAATGATGTCGTTTGAGATCGATTGACCACAAAGAGGTGGTATGAAAGGAAACAGCTGAACACTTGTCAGTATGTCCACTGAACGAAGAAATATTAGCAGCATGCCTGCAGTTCAATTCACATGGATGTCAGTAGGAGAGGTTTAGCTTGGTTCATGCTATCGTACAAATAAAACAGATAATAAATATATAAATGAATAAATCATCTCAATAGCACGTCAAAGAGACCGGAAAATATGGGAGGAATCGTTGAGACACGATCCAGCAGCAATTGACCACAGCAAGATCCCTCGGACTAAGGTGTCACTAAGATCCCTCTAACTCCTGCACTGCCCAAGTTTCTGAGGAGACATCTGGTTGCCATGTTTATGACTAATTCATTTCTAGGCTTACCAGCAAGCCACACGTATCCCAAAGCAAACATGAATCGCTATAATCCCCTGATAATAGACATCAAACTTCGTGTTTCACTGATAAAGGAATCAGGGTTCGGAATCACAGAGAATCATCAAAGAACTTGAATATCAACCGTTATAGCCACCATTGTCGAATTTTGGGATTTAACAGAAGGTCACTACATCAGGCCCATGGTAGAAACTCCTTTCAATGGCCAGGCTTATCTCTAAGAAACTTTCTGACTAACCAAACCCGTAAGTATGGCTATTTTTATCATTCCTCAGTACCTCTTGGTCATAAGAATTAAGTGTTCTTGCAAACACATAAACCCTAACAAAGCCCTACAGCGTTCCATGTTCCTGCAAATTTTCCCCCCTCCCAGCCAGCTGAAACCAAGTTACATTTTCTCCTCAGACTGCTATTACCTATAGTTGAGAGGAAATAAAAGCTGTCCAGCTGAATATCATTACCGTGGTTTCTCATCAATCTCAGTTCGACTTACAAATCACCTTGTATCTATCAATTTGAATCCGCTGAGAACTACAAGTGCGGAACGAACAGGAAGAAATCGAGCAAAATCATCACTTTAAAATCACCCCCTGAAGCACTTCAAGACTTGTATCTTTCCTCCGAACCCCCACTTACTTCTCTAACTTGAATACAGTACTCAATCTATTGGGTATTGAAGACGAGCAAACATCTAGCAAAAGCAACGAAATGCAGACGTCTGAAATTCTTGAAGAAGAGCTTACATTAGCAAAATGTGCGCCTCGCGAACGCGTGGCGTGTGACAGAGGGCCATAATGACAACGGTCTAGCACCAAGGTTTCCAACTCATCCGCAGTTGTTCCGTAATCCCGCTAATATCATAGAGCCCTAAGATCTCTCCTGCTACCAGCTCGAAAGAAACGAGAGGCAAAAAGTACGCAGCTCAGCATTATCCGAAATAATTCATTGATGCAGGACAGCTTTTCTCTGTTTGATTGGCCAAAAAATGTTCCAATTCTACTACAAGATTGTACTCCGAAGCGCGAGTCTCTCCTGAAACAGTCCTGTATTAGAGGAAACAAAAAATACTCCACAGATACTAAAAGAAAAGCAGCACTCAGCGGACAGAGAGTCACGCAATTGAGCTACTCTCGCAGCCGACTACAGAAAATTCAGCCCACGCTTTACCACCAAGGGCGAATTGGAAGAAGGTGGAGATGCAGGCAGAGGGGATCCAACTACGAACCCCCTGGGTCCCAAGAAAGGTTGGCGTTGAGAAGGGAGAAGAGTAGAGAAGGAAGTATACGCAAGACTCAGAAGGTAGGTGAAAAAGAGATGGTGATGGAAATTGAATGGCAGTGAAAGGAAAAGAGTGAGAGCAGCCGCCGAGAAAATAACAGATCTCACAAAATCACCACCGAATGCATGGCGGATCCCAAGTTTGTATGCTAGAGAAGAGGAGCATGATAGTGCGCAAGAGAAACGAGCATCGCGGGGGGTGGCGAGCCAGAGGATGGAATGGACGGACGATTGAGTGGCAGGATAAGGTCCCACGCTCCCCACCTCGACACCCTTTTCTCTCCGTCCGCGTCTGAGAATCTCACCCTTTCCATCCATCCTGGATGAGGAGGTTCCCTCTTCTGCACCGAGGAACCTCCTCATCCCTACACCGTTCCCATTTGGGTGCACCAACACCTCGCACTCCCAGATTCAACGACTTGGGTTTCTTTTTACATCTACCATGACCGTCACCATTGCTGCTATAACTCCTTCTCTAAAGTATATTCCGTCAACTTCACATTGATTAACTTTTACGCTGGTATCCTTTGAGTGGCCTAGGTTTCTGGTTTAGTCTCAGTCTGACAGTTCTGTTTTAGATGCGGCTTTCGGGTATGTGTGAGGTATGCTCTTCTGCTTCAAATCCATACTCGGATTTTCAGAGTTCTATATTCATAATTTCCTGGTGTGTAGTGTGGAAAAAGTTTTGTCTGGACAATCTTATAGCAGAATTGTCAACAATTCTGCTACGAGAGTGTGCAGATACCAACCCAATCTCGTGAAATTTTACGTGGGTGTGTGTTCACATACTGCAGGCTTTGACCACGTGCTTGGGTGGGTATTTTAGGGGTGTATCCTTCAGACTGAGGCCGTACATGCAGCAATTTCAGGAGAGGTTGTAAGTGCCTACAATGTAGCTGTCGTAAGAGTTTCATTTTAGACTTTGGGAATTCTAAGGACCTTTTCAACTGATGCGGATCAGCGTCCGTGCATATTTTGTTTCTTTTTTAGTCATACCTTCTTTGCAAGCTCTAATCGCCAATACTTGAAGACGTCAGTGCAAGCGTTGGAATCTAGGGTTACAAGCAATGATTAATGTGTGCGAAGTTTACTTACATTTGGTCGTACGATTTCCCATTGTCTATGCAGGGCAAGAGGTAGGGATGTTGTGAGAGTAGAATTCGTTCGCAGAAAATGTTTCTACGGGGAGCACATGGAGGGGCTCGAAAGATACTTCGAGATGAGTTGTATTCTTCTCTGCCAAGAGACGCACTAGCAAGGCTCTTGAGGCTGAAATGGACATCTTCGCTGGGGTCAGGATTCGATGGCAGCAGTTTTAGTGATGAGGAAGACAATTCTTATCACGAGTTAAGGAACATGCGCTTCGGGTATGGGGAGCCTGGGAGTGTTACTTATAAAGGAAACGAGGATTCTATGGTCGACGAGTTTAACAGGGTCTGCTTCTCTCTCCTTGATCGTTCTGTACCTTTCTGGTGTCTTTCTGATTCTTCTTCCCGCAAAAGGATTGATTAGTTCTAAAAATGGCTGAAGGTTTCATGATTTGAGTAGCTGATAATTCATTTAAGAGTAATTGCAAAACGCTGACTTGTAACCATCAGTCGAACTTAAGCGTGCAGTAGTTTTGTATGCATCTGTTCAGACCCGCTTTGCAAGGAATGGTGTTTTTTTTGTAGAAATCCTGACCTAAGATGTCTAAGCCTCAGTAAGTCGGTATTATAAATGTCGGATTTAGGGTTCTGGACTGGTTGGTATCAACTGTGCTGTCTGGCAGGAGCTTGAATCTATATTTGGCGCTGCAGCTCCTGACCAGCTTGGAACCAGCCCTGGACCCAAGAGTGAAGTCTTTCCTGGGGGGCAATCAATACATCGAGTAACAACGAGTTTTGATGGTCATGGTGGCATGAAAATCGGAACACACAACGGGCCTCGAGCATTACAGAAAGACTTAAGTACCACAGGGGACAAGGATGGCGATCACCACTCAAATGCTGCGGCTTTGTCCCACGTGGATTCTGCAGGAAAGGCAGCAATGGTGAATGTTTCCACAAAAACTAACACGTCAAGAGTGGCAGTTGCAAGTGGCCGCGTTCTTCTTGGTTTTGATGCATTTTCTCTTGTGGCAGCTAACAACATTGCCAAAGGTGATGTGCTCACTGTGGCAAAGATCGCAGGAATTATGGGTGCAAAACAGACAGCGACTCTTATCCCTCTGTGTCACCCTTTAAACTTGAGCGGGGTTGATGTAAGCTTGTCCTTAAACAAAGAATTACACGCAGTGGACATAGAAGCAAAAGTAACAACTGTAGGCCTCACTGGCGTGGAGATGGAGGCACTCACTGCGGTGAGCGTTGCTAGCCTTACAGTCTACGACATGTGTAAGGCAGTGTCCAAGGACATTCGAATATCTGATGTGCGTCTTGAATCCAAGACAGGAGGCAAGAGTGGTGAATGGCATCGGCTGCGTAATCGATCCTCTAGGTGATAATTTCTGATAAAGATGCCCATGAATGGAGCATCATGCTGCTCTCTGGTAGCTGTGTAGCTGTTCTCAAGCTCAAATTTTTCCGTTGTCCCGAGAAGCATTTAACTTAAATTCACTAAGTGGGCCATTTTTCGGGATCCTTATTCTCCAGGACTGTTATACTTAACAAAGACGAGAATATATCTAAAAGTGATTTTTCTGATCTGAAATGTCTAAAATGATTTCGTATGTCAACACATGAAGTTGCTTGTGACAGGTATGACGTGCTTCTATATTTCTCGTGCAGGTGTACATGGGTAGGAAAGTTAAATAGCGCTTTGCCAAATGCTCTGAATGAACCATGTCCTCACTTGTCAAAACCCTAAAACCATAGAATATATGTTAAAAGTAAAACAACTTCGTCATTTCACGACACGAACCTGCTACTCTAATATATTCAATTCTGTATACTTTTACATGAATGTGACCGAACACTATGTGGTTCATTGAATACTGCACTTCTACATCTAGTTTAAATTTATTATTCATGCATTGTCTGGACGAAAATTACATGTTGAACTTCAAATTTTATTCCACACAACCCAAATGTTTTCAATATTCATTTATAATATGGTTAAATGATAAATACATAACTAAAAATTCAGGGTAGCAAAAAAAAACCTTTTAACAATTGACTTTATAATTCATATCATACACATAGTCATAACCTTTCCTAAGCTTTCATTATTGGGCCAAAAAAATAGGATAAATTTATTCTACTATCTAATAACTACCCAAGTGAATCAAAATAAAAAGAACTTTTATCCATCTAATACACTATTAATGGATATTCATGGTACTTATAAAACAAATATATACTTACTAATAACTTTGTACCTTAACATGGATATTTGTATTAACTACTTTTTACATTTCTTTATTAATCCCTCAATCAACCAATAAATCATTTATTATGTCATTCCTACATATCTTGGATATTTTTAACTTCATCAAAATTAAATTCTAAAAGATTTGGCTGGAACCTAAGATATTGGAATTACTTTGGTCTTACTTTTGTACATTTCTAAATCCTGGCAACTAATATTGCATTCTTTCCAAATAACAACCCAACTCTCAATCTAATCTTCTTGATTTGTATATATAATGTAACATCATTTACAAGATCATAGAATACACCAACAATCAAAAGAATAGAGATTTTCTTTTTCTTTTTCTTGGCTCTTATTATCTTTAAATGAATGTCACTCATTCATGTAATAAAAATATGAGATTTCAAGTATTTATCATTTGAAAATAGTTTGATTTTGTGCATAAGACATGATGACATTTGGTTTGTCAATTGCATTACAATACACAAAGTTCTTCAACTGTGCACTATGCATGAGGTAAGTACATGAAGACATGCAGTTTCAAGCCCATGCAAGTCCCATGTCCTGTAGAAACTTGTTCATGGTCCAAATTGAGACATTTTGTTTAGGGCAATGATGATCAGTAAAGAATGGTGTAGATATAATGTAGCATTATACACCTGGATGAAAGGGACACCTAAGCAGCACATGCATGAGGGTTGTAGTGGGCCATGGGCACATGCACAGCCCACCTGCAGGAGTGTAGCTGATTTCATCAGAGAGCAGTGTAGTGACTACTCATCAGTGAGTGGAAGACTGGCTCAAATTTCATCACAACCCTCCTTGAATGCAACATCACATGGGATCCACCCAGCCCGGTTCATATCCCTAGGGTCCTGCCCTCTTACAAGACTTGCAGACTATTTCAATGCTAGGCCCTACTCTTTTCGTGGACATCAGTGCCATCAAGACGCAGCCCAACTAGCCACCCACAACCACAGGGGACCCAACCGACCTCTAGGGAGAATCGATGCAGAGAGAAACAATTCACACCAGAACGGCACATCGGACCGTTGGCTCCTAGTCACGGTTTGTCCTGCTTTCATCTCAAATCAGACGCTGTCACTGAAGTGTAACACTCGAACAATTGAACACTAAACAGTCTACTACAAGCCAACAAGTGCCGGTGGAAATCGAACATGATCCATCCCAGTTGTCCCCGCCCGCGAGGACGCGTTTCCGCACTAATTCTTCTTCGAGGAATCACGCTTCCTGTCAGAAAACTACTAACAGATTGTGTCATAAAGCCTGTATGTGGCCAGCCCAGTTCCCTAGTGTGTCTAGACGATGAGCCAAAACCGACACCCTGCCACAGAAGAACGCCTCATACATCACCCACAAGATCGGGCGTAGAAGCCAAAGCCACATTGCAAACAAGCCCCAAGGCATACACTGCGCAAACATTAGTACTAAACTTTATAATATTTTCATTTATGCGATGATAATTTTCAGATGCGGAGCTCCGCCACAAACAGATCATATCAGTGGCCACACACTCGTATGTGCCACATGAACCACGCTGGGCTGCGGTGTCTACGAAAACACCCTGTTGAGCAAAATTCTTTTTAAAAAGAAAGCGAACTATCACTTCCATCTGCCAGGGTATGAGATAAAATACAAGTTCCTTACTGAGAGACTAACAGGGGCACTAACAGAACTGACCATGTAACGCTTGGAAGGATGATTTCTAAACCTGCAGCAAATCATGATGATATCCGCAATCTGGTCAACACAACACTCCAAGACGAAGTGCTTTCCAGCGAACCACTGGGCTTGGAAGACCTGTCTGGGGTTGATAATACAAACTAGCCGAGCTACCAAAAGATGAGGCAACTACCAGTGTCTTTCGAAAAAGAAGCACAACGCACCAGGTGCAATGAATCATCCCGTCCAGGGAAAACTTGACCGGGGTTGGCTGATGAGAAAACTAGGACGCATATCATCAAAAAATACGCACTCAAAATTTGGTGCCCGAAAAAGAACGAACAACACACCAAGTACAAGTTCCAGAAACTTGACCGGGGTCGACGGCAATCCAACACGCCAAGCGCAGGTCCCGAGCCGAGAACTTGACTGGGGTCGAATAGGATCCAACACGCCAAGTGCAAGTCCAACTCGAAATATAGAACTGAACTGGGGTCGACTGATCGTGAGTAGTATACAGACTACGCTCAATGAATTTTGGCATACTTCAAGGGTTGGCTCAGCATTCTCATGTCCGGACCTAAGTGGCCAATGCTGCCCATACTGTTCACCCGAACCATTCCCTGCGAGGAGCGGCCAGAGGAAACGCCAGTAGACATTGTTGTACGGGGCAATGAGAGGTGGTGAGCCAAATGCCGCTCCTGAGAGGGAATCGATGCTGGGAGATACATGCCCATGTTTTGATCCATACCAGTCCCGGCCATCAAACCCGTGTTCATGTTCCGTGACATATCGCAGGAAGGTGAAGAGGACATCGACACACGCGGGATGTCGAGTGTATCTAATGCCGGTGGAGGATGTCTCCACTGGGGAAGTGGTCCAGCTACGAGGAGTGTCTGCAGCAGTGGGCCCGCCTGCATTACTGCTTGCAGAAGCTTTCCTTTCTCAGGTAGTGAATTCAGCATCACTTGCAAATCCGATTCGGGTGGCTCCGGAAGGTGAACTGGTCGTGATGACAGGTGCATGGGACTCGAGACGCCAAGGCTCTGAAACCGATCAAGGGGGCTCAGCAGTGACGCCACCGCTGACCCGCTGTGAAGGTTGACAGACGGTAACCCAAGCCCATTCGACAAAGGTGGTGAGCACAACCCTGGAGACGAGTACGGTGAATTCTCCCCAGGCACTGCTTGCCATGCTGGGTGCTGCATTGTCATTGATATGCAAGGTGACTCTCTGCGCTGCATAAAGGTCCTCGCTGAAGGTGAGTCTCGATGTTGCATGGTGGACATTGCTGTCGGGGAGTCTCGATAATGCTGCATAACGGACATTGCTGTTGGAGAATCACGGTGGTTCAACCCGGACATGGCCAATGGAGTATCCCGATGACGACGCACTGATAAGCCAGATGGAGATTCTTGATGCTGAAGGGCAGTAGACCTACTCGGAGAATCACAATGACGTTTGACGGAAATCGGTGGTAAAGATTTCTGAACAACTTGCTGATGAAGAGATGATTTCCGCTCAACTTGGAGTTGTTGCTGATGTTCAGCTTGCTGCTGCACGTGCGACAGGATACGCTCGGATTCTTGCTCCAACTGTCCATCTGTGCTCTGCCGAATGAGACCGATGTTGTAGTGGTTGTGATGTTGATGGTGGACGTTCTGTTCCATTTGTGGTTGTTGCTGTTGATGTGCAAGCTCCATCTGCCGCAAATCCGATGACGAAGAAACCTGGTGGAGCTCCTGCAGTGTGTTCATAGAACAGTGATTCTCCGGAGAATGCATCCGCGACAGTGGATGCAAGCTTGAATGCGAATCCGGAGATGGGACATTCATTTGCTTCATGCCTTGAACTGAGTCTTCCAGCTGCTCCATGTGATCTTCAGGTCGGATGACTTGCGAATGCGGAGGAGAAATTTGATGCACATGAGAACCATCCTCCATGTGCTGGTCTTGATGCACCATCTGAGTTTGGGGAGAAGTCATAGAATGTTCCTGAAGCTCCAAATGTTTCTGGAGTTCTTCAAGGATTTGAAATTGCTGCTTTTGGTGTAGATCCGCCTCTACTGCTGCATTCGCTGCGTTCTGTACGTTGTCGACGAGGCCCGAACCATTCCTGCTTGGAGACAGAGACAGCCGCCCTTGAAGTTGGATGAACTGCTCCCGTGCTTCATCTCGTTCACGCGTGGTTTTTCGCAGAAGCTCCTCCAGATGCCGAACTCGCGCTTCATGCAGTTTCCCTTGGGCGCTTGCTGCGTCTCGAGCAGATTCTAGCTCAATTGTTGCACACATCAACAAGTGCCTCAACTCCTCTGCAGTCTGTCAATAGAAAAAAACCTATCACAGTCAATAACATATGTGAACTCGCTCCAAATATTAGAGGAGAAGCAAAACAACAAAAAACTTGTTCCCACAGTAAAACGCCAAGATCAAACGATGTACAAACTAAGAGGACTACAGCGACTTAAGGTTTTGTCGAATGCCGGCAACGTCACCTCCATTGAGGTAGCGCAAAGCTCAGGGCTCAACATCGAACTCGAGTTGCTCATGCCCACCTCGCCATGATGAAATAAGGAGCCAGGTTCTTCCATGCCCCTGCTTAATGCTGACAGCGAGCTGTCCATGTACGGATCGGACTCGTGCAGTCTCTTTCGAGATCTGAAATCACACATTTTCTGGGAGCTTCACAATTCAGACGTAACTGAACAAAGCAATGTACGGGACGTTATGCTTTTATGTACTCTGTACTGGAGTCACCTGCACATTTCCCCACAATCCGAGATGAGCATCATGTAAACCCAGAAAAACGAAAGCCCAATACCGCCCAACGATATTTTAAACTACAGTCCTCCCATTCGCATGCGCAAACATGATACAACATGCCTCCTGACAACATTGCGCGCACCCATTGTCATCCACACACCGTGCTAACAAATGCAATGTGGGCAGCCGAGATGTGCAGCGTATGTTTTTCAAGGCAGTTAAGACAAAACATTCCGCGTGATATTCAAGAGTATCATGAGTAGCCGGAACCAACCATTCCAGCGAGGCAAATAGAATCAACATGTAGAACAGACGTCGAGAGCAAATCAGAGAAGGAAATGAAAAACCATACATAGTCCAGTCGAGGCAGGGTAACGTAGCGCATGGGCAAGCCAGGCCACGAAACTTATGGTTGTAGCAAATGCGCCGTCAGTCCCGATCGACAGAAACTACGTCCGCTGTAAACTAAAATGATCTGATGAACCACGCATACAAGCCACATATGTTCGACATACGCCAGAGAATGCATGTCAAACTGTGGAGAGGTATGCGTCGGATCCTGTGCTCATGCGCGTGAAAACGACCTGTTGCTGACCTGAGGTAGACGCTGAAGCGAAAATAGCGCACTAAGCATGTGGTCATAACGCACACCCTATTCCGTGCGCGACAAGAAAGCCGAAAACTTTCAATGGTGCACGATATACAGAACACAACCACATCCCAACCTCCCTGCAGAGGAAGTATTTCCAAACATGTTGACGGTTAGGGAGAGAAGGAAGAAATGGCCTTCCTCCCTTTCGCCGCATCCGCTCTCCCCGAAAGAGAGCGGAACAGTAGATATAAATGTACGATGCGACTCCAGCCACTTAGACCGAGTGTTGACAGAAATTAGTCGTAGCTGCTCCTCAGCAGCTACGACTCAAGCGCACTGAGGTATATGGCCGGAAAATGTGTCAATGATGCACCCCTTGAGAAGCGGATCTCGACGTGTGCACGCACGCACAAGACAGTGTTCGTAGTTTCAAGCGCCAAACGATGGATCTGGAAGAGCATCAAAGACACTGACAACACGAAAACCTTCAATCTAGGTCACATCCTGCAATGAGGACGAGGCACAAACATACAGACAAAGACACCCGAAGTGGGTGAACCAACACCGTGCAGTGGTCGGGTCTACAGTACCAGCAACTGTAGGGCCATTCACGAAGGCAACGTCCGCTGACGCTCACTGGTATCACAGAGAAATCCAGAGGCGCCGTCCGAAGCATCGGTAGCGTTCCAGATGCAGGCGATGTCTGGCACTGTGCACAAGTGCTGGTAGACGATACCGACAGAGGACAGTATGGCTCGTGAAAAAAAGAGGGAGGGCGCGTAGAAGCAAAACCATACTCGGCGTGACAGGGAAGCAACGAAACAAACAAATAGAGGCGACACAGACGCACTGCAGAGCAAAGGGTGAGAGGCAAAAGAGTGCACTGCGGCCACGGAAAGACGGGCCGAGAGAACAGCAGGAGCAAGGGTGGGGAGAAAACTTACATGGCAAGGTTGGGCGGAGGAGGGAGGGCAGCAGGAGGGGGAGCACGGAAGCAGCGGCAAGTTGCGGAGGGAGGCAGGGAGGGAGGGAGAGAGAGAGGGAGGGAGGGAGAGAGAGAGGGAGGGAGAGAGCCGCAGCGCAGCGCAGCAGATGGGGGAGGAGTGGGAGACGTGGGATGTAGGAGCCTGGGGCGAGGCGCAGGGTAGGTGCAGAGAACCTCCTCTTGGGTAGGGGGGCCTTCCTCTCATGCTAGGGACCCCGCTCCCTAAAAGAGACCACTTCGCCGCAGCAATCGCCTTGCAGCAATAATAATCCCAATAATACCAATAGTTTTTAATATTAATGCGAATATGATAACTGCCAGCGCGGGTATGTCGCGCATTGAATGGGCGACTGGAGAGAAGGCTGAGTAGGCGGAGGGGCCACGGCCTCCCCTCCTGATTCAGATGCCTCATCGCACGGGTCCCCTGCATATATTTCCGCCTCGCACCCTTTTGGGCCTGGGTAACGTGGAGCCCCCTCATTTCCTTATACCGTTCAATTTTAGTTGAGGTTCCTTCGTCGCGCCGTTTCGGTAAATCTCACATTCAAAACTCGGCTTTGCATTTAAACCTGGAAGTCCAGTCATTTGCGTGTAGGCTCTTTGATTCCAGCACAGCTTTCCTTCCAAATCAAGAGTGACTGGAGCTCAAGACCTCACACACCACCTCTTGTGTATTGGAGACAGAACACAAGCAATTTTTGTTGTTTTACTTTGTTTTCTTTTGATGAACGAAAAGACCAGAGACAATTAAGAAAGAAGCATGGGCACATGTGTGCTTCTTTTTCCTTTTTGTTAGTCTTGTAAGCATTTTAAAGAAAGCAAGCAAAACCTTCTCTGACTTTAGAAGAGCAATTTACAACCAAGTGTGAGGGTAGTGCCCCTACGACATGCCTAGTTTCAATTACTAGTTTGGACTAGGTGGAAGGTCTTCTTAAGAGATTAAGAGATTGGAGTGTTGGAAAAAAATACATGTTGTGTCTTTTAACTTGAAGAAATATTTGGATAATTATTTAGTTGTTTGTTTAAACAGTGTTTGGATATGTTAAAAGAAAAATGAAGACTAAAAGCAATTTATCAATTGGTTTTGAAATAGTGATGAAAAAGAAGGTTTTATGCCAAATTAGAGAAGTGCCTCATCCATATGCTGTTAGTAGAATTTTTGAACTACATTGTCTTTGATAATAGAATTTCTTTAAATGTAAAGAATATATAATTTGTATTAGAGTAAATGACACCAATATCAATACTTGATGTGTAATGTTTCTTTGGTTTTGTAAACTTTTATCAAATATTTATTAAAAATTAACCCAAGATAGGTGCACTATTAAAACAACTTAATAGAAAAGAAAAACTTACATATGTTGAGAAGACCAAGTAAATTTTTAAGTATTAAAATATTTTTTATATTAGCTCCAATTTTCGTCTATAAACATTTATTTAGATCATTTTTTTAGAAGCAAATGTATCATGGTTTTTACTAGGTCTAAAGTTTCTTAAAAAGATAAAATGTATATAACTTCATTCAATTTTTTTATCGTTTATTTTTTTTGTAACAACAATAAAATTTAAAATCTATAATAAATATAAATATAAAATATATATATATATATATATATATTTCAAATATTTGATTAGAAATATTAATAATTTCTTTAATTATATAAATATAATATGATAAAAAAATATAAGTAGCTATTAGAAAATCCTTTTTACATAAATTTAAAAGAAATTATAAGTAATAATGAAGATTTATTTAAATTTTTTAAAGAATTAAAATATAAAAAGATATACTTTATTATATAAGACTATAGTATATATCTTTAGGATCTATACACTTAAAAATCTTACATTTATAACATGATTTTTTAAGTATTAGTTATTTTAATACTAACTAAAATTTAGAGTTTATATCTAAAAAATATTAGTGGTTTTAATATTTAGGTTTATACAAGATTCTATAAAATCATGTGATATATGAATAATATAAAATTCTTCACCAACTTCATGTACTTCAAGGCCTTGGATTATCTATATCTTTGGATTTTATTATGGATCTTTTGAAAATTAAATTTAAAAGACTTTATTCTTATGGTGGTCAATTATCTTACTAAGATGTCATATTTCCTTCTATGCAACTATACAATGACAAGATAAGAGATTGCAAAACTCTTGAATAATTATATGTATTAAATCCATAGACTTCTCAACAATATTATATCCAATCAAAGAACATGATTGTTTTTTTAGACTTTTGCAAGACTTTATTTTAAATCTTAAAATTCAAGATTTGTTTTTAACACATCATCTAAAACATAACAATTAAGCTAAGAGATTATACTAAATTTTAGAATAATATTTTAAATTTAGTATAAATTATAAAAAAGATAATTATAAATAATCTATATATATATATATATATATATATATATGTCTTATTTGTTACTAATTTAATTTATAATGATGCTTTACATTTATCAATAAAAGAAATTTTATACTTTGCAAAGTATATAAGACATCTTTTAGTATATCCATTTCAAGTTAAGATAATGGAAAATCCTACAATTAAAAAACTAACTATTCATCTTCTTAAATATTATAAAGAATTTCTTTTTAAACTAAAATAAAATAAAAAAAAAAAACTCAAGATCAATATAAAGACTATATCAATTGTTTTTGAAGATTTTAACTAGATTTTCAAATTGGAGATTAAATAAAGTTTTGAAAAAAAGTATTCAAACTAAAAAATCATCTAATAATATGAACTATTTAAGATTGTAACTAACAATTGAAATCTTACTACAAATTATTCGAATTAATTATTATATTAAACTTTTTATAATTGTAAGAATTTATCTAAACTTTCATATTTCTTTTATGAAAACTTATAATCAATCACATGTTATAAATAAATATATTTTACATCTATTTCTAGTTATAAACAATACCAAATTTAAATATAAAGTTAAAAAAATTCTTGATTTATGTATAATAAATGGCCAATTTGAATGATTTATACATATAAAAGTTTATAATATTAAAAAAATATCATAAAATATTTTATGAAATATTACTAATGTATTAAAAAATATATTAAATTTTTATTGATTTTATACTAAATATCCAAAATATGTCATCAAAAAAATTATATTATAGATATGAAATCAATATTGATAATTTTTTTAAAAAATAAATTTATTTTTAAGTTTGATATAAAAAGGAGATGGTCTATCTTTAAAATTTATTTATATATAATAGTCAATCTTTAAATCACTTTATTTTAAGTTATATTTTTTTACTTTCTCTCCAACCTCCTATCTTATACTAATCATTGTTATCTTCTTTTAATAAAAAAAAGTTGGTATCTATCTTCTTTTTAGTATATCTATTGTATTATATGAATAAAAGAAAATTATATAGAACTCAAGATGGATTTTCATAGACTCCAATTGATCTAATAAATATGGAATTGAATTGATCCATTAATAATGAAGAAATGGTCTAAGTCTATATAATCTAACATGCCACAAGGACTAATTGTCTTGATATTATAATATAACAATAAGATCTTATTGAAAATATAGACTTGAGGTTGTTTTTTTGCAATAGACATATGCATTGATTTCTTCTTAACTTAAGCTTTATTTAATTTTTTCTTCATTATTGGATGTGGTTTTGATAAATAATTTTAAAAATATTTTGCGATAAGATTATGAACTTTTGAAAAGTTTAAAATTTGAAGTTATGAATGATAAATTAAATAAAAGATGCTAAAGTCACTTATGAGCTTACAAGCATAATTTAACTACTTGATTGTAGCAATAAAATTTATCTTTATGAAGAACTTTATAATAAACAATATAATAAGAAGATTAAGAAATTTAATAAAGAAGCAAAAAGGAAAAAAAGTCTTTAAATGATTATTCAACAATTTTCACATTAATAAAAAAGAAGAATAGATTAACAAATGATATAATGTGAGATTTTTTTTTTTTTTTTTTTTGAGATTGAGATACTTTGCTTGAAATTTCCAAAAAAATAATAATATGTAAAATAAATATAAATATTTGAGATAAATATAAAAATAAGGATTATACATTCATGGCTAAAGAAAAAACTTTGATGACTATTATATTTAAGTTGATTTTTTTTATTTGTGATATCTCAAAATATTGATAAGGATTTAATATTTCTTAAACACTTATGATGCTATCAAACATCAAATTTGTTAATGATAAATAGTAATACTTATAAAAATATTGAAATATGCTCTACAATAGTTGAAGCAATTGAAAATAGACACAAGTAATATGATAAAATTTTAAAACATCTTTATTATACTTATAATGAAAAAAAAATCTTTTTGATAAGTAAACTTATAATAAGAAGCTTGATAGTTATTTTAATATAGATAAATGTTTTGTAAAAATATTAAGTACAAAAATGGTTCTAAGATATTAAAAAGGAGAATTTATACATCATAAATTGTAAGAAAATTAATGAGATAGAAGTATTTATATTTACTCATTTTACATTAGAATAAAAAAAGTTTGATATATGAAAATGTTGTCCTAGCCATTTAAATATGAAGAGTATGAAGAATCTCTAATATATGATAATTCTTTGGTTTTTTTTAAATAATTCTTTTATCTTCTTGACATTGTTTTTTTGTCCTTCTTTTTATATCTTATCTATGAGATGGCCTTTCTACATCCCAAAAGCCAATGCTTCAACCTCTTAGAACTTATCAATGATAATGTTTTCTAAATGATAATATACCTTTTTATCATTTTATTATTATTTACTTTAATACTTCAATTTTTTTACTTATTAAAGTCCTTCAAATTTAATGGCTTTATCAATATGTAATGAAAATACTTCACTAATGCTTATCTAAGTAAATCAATATACATGTCTTTTGTTGCTCAATACCTTTGATATCAATCAC